GGGAAAAAAGGCATGTGCCACAAAGCCCAGCTCTTCTGGAATTCTTCTTTCTCAGCTAGAGAGAGAGAGGCTTCAGACTTGGGGTGAGGGACTCCTTTCCCTTCCTATGTCCCTGTCTTCTTGTCCTTCCTCAAAGGATCCTGGCACGAAGTGACTTGAAAGTGGCAGAGGAGCTGCTGTACCTGCGCGTGATCCACAGCCTGATGACAGCCATGGGCAACACCGACCACAGCAACAGCCAGAGACTGGCCAGCCTCACTCTAGAGGTGCTCGGGCTGGGGTGGGCGTGTGGCAGACTGCAGGGCATGGGCAGTCAAGTCAGCAGACACCCACACTGTCTTGCCACCCATCCACCTTCTGCTGCAGTTCTTTGTGCAAATGTTCCCACTGGTGGAGGAACATGTCCACAAGTCCATGGGGGAGGAACTCTACCAGCTCTTCCTTGTAAGTATTTCCCTTCCCACCAGCCTCAGGAGTTTCCCAGGACAGAATGGTACCCATTGTGCACACAGGAATCCAGTCTCCTGACTTGGACACACACACACACACACACACACACACACACACACACACACACACACACCTGCTCCTCTCCTGACTTTTGCTTTGGTTCTGTTTCCTCAACCCCTTGTATTTCAGCCAGACATCAACATCTCCTTGTGTCTAATAAAACATCTCCAGCTAGCCTGTGTTAGCAAATGCCTTTAATCCTAGCACTCAGTAGGCAGAGGCATCAGGATGTTGTTAGTACAAGGCCAGCCTGGTATACAAAGCGAGTTCAAGGACAGGCTCCAGAGCTACACAGAAAAACCTTGTCTCGAGAAACCAATAAATAAAGAAAAAAGAAAGAAAAGAAAAAAACCAACTCTAGTGCTGGGCCGTCTTCCCCAGTTCCAGTGATGGTCAGTCACTCTTCCTTCCTGTAACTCAATACCATAGTGTCCCCAAAGCCTCTTCTTTGTCCCCATGTCTATGGTCCACTGACTACCATCCAAGTATCTCTAGAACCCAACATCTCACCCCTTTACCCCCATGGCTTATACCCTGGGCGAGCCCTCACCACTCCTGTTTCTGCTTTCTCCCAGCCTCTTTCAGGTTTTGCCTTGCAGGGCTAATGATGGAGCCTCAGGCCTCACAGCTGCTTTGTGACATTCCATCATATCCCCAGATATTTCTACTTTTTAATTGTTGAGACAATATCTTTCTATATTACCTAGGCTGGCCTTGAACGTGCTCTATAGTGCAGGGTGGTTTTGAGCTTCCTGCCTCCTGTCACCAGTGACTGGAATAGCAGACCCATGCCACCCAGCCCAGCTATCTCAGTTTGGTGTTTCAGTTTGGGCTCTCCTGCTTTGCCTGTTGCTCATTGTTTCGTTGGGCTTTTTGATTGTTTTGTTTTGATTGGTTTCCTGGAAATCACTCTGTAGATCAGGCTGGCCTCGAACTTACAGAGATCCCCCTGTTTCTGCCTCCAGAGTTCTGGGATTAAAGATGTACACCACTTCACTCCACCCACACCTGGTGGTTGGTTGGTTGGTTTGGAGACAGGGTTTCTCTGTGTAGCCCTGGCTTTCCTGGAACTGATTATATATTATATAGTCTGGCCTTTAGCTCTCAAAGATCCACCTGCTTCTGCGTCCCAAATGCTGGGATTAATGGCATCCATCAGCTCCTCCTGTTCTACTTTGGGGTTTTGTTTTGGTTTGGGTTATATGTTGTCTTTAAATTTTGGTTTTGCTTTTTTTTTTTTTCTTGTTATTGTTTCTTTAGGAGACTTTGCTGATGTTTTCCTTTTTTTCCAGCCAGAATCTCTTTGTGTAGCCCAGGCCAGTCTGGAACTCAGACATCTGTCTGTTTCTGCCTCCTGAGTGCTGGGATTGAAGGCTTGACCCAGCTGGGAATTTTGTTTTTGTTAGCATAGATAAAGGAAAAATGAAAGAATCCCCCAAAGTGGGAAAGGAAGAAAATCTAACATTTTCTTTTCTGGTTTGGTTGAGTGTTTTCCACCAATGGGGAGAGCTGGCTTTTTTTTTGTTTGTTTGTTTTAAGACAGTCTCATTAAGTCTCATCTGACTTTTGCCTCTCTCCCCAGTACGAAGGCCCTAAACACACCACTACCTTCAGGTTTTACTGAGCTGTGGGTGAGGATTTGTGCATGATAGAAGCGCTGTAGGTATACAAAATGAATGTGCCGGGACCAACAACACACCGATATTTTAGAGCTATCGGTAAGGAGTTAGACTAGCGGGATCTGCGGGGGTTGGAAAAAAGCAGGAAAACACGGTCTCAAAAAAGCTTTCAAGAATAAAATACCCTTACTGATAGAACCTGAAAGGGCCTAGTAAGACAGTAACTTATATTCTTTAACGAAATATGGCCCCACTTTGGCTTTGAAGTGGGGACCCCCAAAAATTGTAGAAGAGAGATTTTACTCTCAGGATATGACAGACTTCTTTACGGACGCCCTGCATGTAGTTCTCATGTTAGCAAAAATCTTACTTCACCAATGGTCACTTTTTTTTTCAAAAAAATACGTAACTCTTCTGTTTCATTCTCACATAAATCTCTCTAAATTGTACGATGGTGAAGGAAACCAAGTTGGAACAAAGAAGCAGCGGTTGGTTTTAAATTTCGCAATGACCCCTGTGCAGTGCATTGTGGGTATGTAAATGAGCCTGAGTCACCGCCCTCTGGGCCCCGGAAATACTTTAAATATTTCCGTCTTCACCCCGTGAAAAGATGTGAGCCAACCACCAGGGAGCAGAGCAAACTCGAGATTTTCCGAATGTAAATCTTCTGCTCTGTCTGAATTAAAATTGTCACTTGGGGAGATGTGTCATCATTGTAGCGCCCTTGTCTATACACGAGGCACTGGATTTCACCACCGCATCAATCAGTACATAAACAACACCTCGAAAATGACTGTATCAGTACATTCATTTAACTCAAAGTACTGAGCGCCTGAGGCCCTTGCCCTCAGACACTGGGATGTGTGCCAAGCACTGATGACTGAAAGTTCACAAAGACACTGGGGCCAAACACTAGAGGGTCCAGAGAAGGGCAGAGAGGCACCAGGATGTTCCTACCCTCAGATTTGCCTCGAATGCAGACAGAATAATACAGCTAGAAAGCTGCGGACAGGGTCTGTCGTAGCCCAGGTTAGCCTCGATCTCTCCTTGCAACTGAAAATGACTCTGAACTCGAGATCCTTCTGCCTGCGATTCCCCAGTGTTGGGACAACTGGGGAATGTCTCCACATCAAACTTGGTTTGCGTTGTTCCACATATGTGGGTTGTTTTTTGTTTGTTTAATATAGCATTTGCTATATTAACTGGACATATAGAACTCTATATATAGACCATGCTGACATCAAACTCCCAGACATTTCCTGGACTGGGGAGTCGGTGGTCACTGCAAAAATTGAGGCTGGGCAGTGGTGGCCCATGCCTTTAATCCCAGACTCTCTAGTGTGGGGTTAAGGCTCTCACATCACCATAGGGGAACTAATACTCCCTTTCACCATCACCCAAATTCATGTGTGCTTTTGGGTTGTGACAAGATGAAAGGCCAGAGGCCAGTAGCCAGCTACAACACATTTTTGTTTTGTTCGTTTGTTTTTTGGAGACAGGGTTTCACTGTATAACAGCCCTGGCTGTCCTTCAACTCACTTTGTAGACCAGGCTGGCCTTGAACTCACAGAGATTCACCTGCCTCTGCCTCCTGAGTGCTGGAATTAATGCCAGGACACCATTCCTGACAACTAGTGTATTTAAAAAAAGAAAATATGCTGCAGGAGAGCCGGAGACTTGGTGGGAGACAAATTGTCTCAGAGACAGTTACCTCTATGAGAGGCAGGGGGGAGTGTGGGTTGTTTGCTTGTTTGCTTGCTTTTAGTAATTTAAGAGATATACTTGGTCATGCCTCCTCTGTCATCTGTGTGGGGTCCATATCTGGGTAGCTAAATGGACACCTCACCATCTTTTTATTTTCTTTTTTTGGGGGGTGGTGGTGAGGTTGAGACAGGTTTTTTCTGTATTGCTTTGGAGCCTGCCCTGGAACTTGCTCTGTAGACTAGGCTGGCTTCGAACTCGGAGAGATCTGCCTGCCTCTGCCTTCCCAGTGCTGGGATTAAAGATGGGCACCACAAACGCTGAGCAACACACTCTCACCATCTTAAGTAGTAAAATTTACAGCACCAGTTGTCTTTTGTCCATTTGGGGTAAGATGTGGTGGGTCATTAGAAATGGGGCTCCAAATACTTTCATTTTGGGTCTTTTTGTGTGAACATGTTTCCCTGACAGCAAGATCAAATTGTAATCATTGATAATAGGTCCAATATGTCTACCTGCCATCCATCCCGGCACACTGTTTCATATGGAGACAGGGCCTGGTGACAGGGCCCTGAAGGTAAGGTTTAAATAAGCTCACCAGACCCAAGATAAACGATAAATAGGTGTTTTATTGGGGATGAACTTACACATGTAACATAAGCAACTGTCCAGGTGTCCCTGCTCGAAGAATACAGACCCTGCCTCTCAATGCTCTCTGGAACCCAAGGGAGCTTCTGTCCCCAACTCCTCTATCTTAAACAGGCCATGTACACCTGAAACCACACCCAAAGGGCATGGCCACTGTTACAGGTTCATAGGCATGATGCTGAAGGCAAGGGTGTAATTATTCACTGGACCCAAGCTAAATGATAAATGGGTTTTTGTTGGGGAACAATTACACAGAAAAATACAAAGAACTGCGGGAGCATTTTCCTGCCCTTCCTACCAGATCAGCTGACCCACTAGAAAGACTGCGCCAAGGCAAGACACACCTCAAGCTTCTCTCCTACTACTTCTGTCTGGCTGAAACCACACCCAAAAGGGTGTGGCCACAGTTACAGGTTCACAGACAAGACCCCTACAAAATGACCCTACAGGGCCCTGGTGACACTGATTCAACATAGGGTGTAGAATCCTAAACTATAAAAGACTTGAATGACATTTTGGACTGCGGAGGGTGGTCACTGAAAAAAACTGAGGCTGGGCATGCCTTTAATCCCAGCACTCAGAAGGCAGGGGGAATCGGATCACTGAGTTCAAGGCCACCCTGGTCTACAACGAGAGTTCTAGGACCTGCTCCAATAGCCAGCCACACAGAGAAACCTTGTCTGGGGGCGGGGGTGGTTTGGGGTGGGGGGAGAACTGAAGGCTGGAGCAGCTAAGTTCGAGGTAGTGCACAACTAGGTAGTGCACAACTAGGTAGTGCACAACTTTAACGCCTACACACACTCGAGCACTCAAGAAGGGGGGCAGTGGGTCTCACTGGATTCAAGAGGCCAGCCTGCAGCATCACTTAGGGGTGAGAAGTGTCCTCTGTGGTGGGGCACAGCTGTGGATGATGATGGTAATTCTAAGCATCTTTTCTATGAACCTGTAACAGTGGCCACACCCCTTTGGGTGTGGCTTCAAGAGGATGGAAGCAGAAAGAAAATCTGCTGCAACTCAGAAAGCTTTGGGCTACTTTCCACAAGCACGCGCC